GGAGCTATGGGCACCTGTCTAACGGATGCCATTGGTGTCATTGCAGGCGTTTTTCTTTTGTCTATCCTGTTTGAAAGAGGCCTGCAGAAGCGCCCTACGACTGCCTAGTATGATCAGCAAGAAAATTGGGATCTTCGAGGTCATTTGGAGGTTCTAAAGCCATTACTGGATAATCCCGAGTTATCTTTCTATAAACCCTACAAGATCAGAATTCCTGAAAGGGACCACCGACGGATCAAAGATGAATGAAGAGAGTACTGGGGCAGGCGTATTTGGACCAAAATTTCAGAAAGTCTGCCAATTTACGCATACCCAACTATATTCCAGGCGAAAGTCTTCGCAATCGTGGTCTGTGTAGAAGAAAAAATGGGGCCAAATTAAATATTATGTCGGATATTCAGGCAGGTTAAACGCTTTGGACTCTTTTAAAACGGCATCAGGCTTGTGGACAGCTGTAGAACTCTTTTGAACCACTTGCAAGCCAACTATAACGTAACGCTGTGTGGGGTTCCGGGACATGAAGGGTTTGAAGGCAACGAAAGCTGTTTAGTGAGCTGGTAGAGGAAACTCCAGAGCATATTCTATGTGACTGCCCACGTATCATAAATACCAGACTGATACACTTTGGGGAAGGATTGTCTTCATCCAAAATTTTATTTAAACGCGCTCCAAAGTGCCTAACTTCTGAAAGAGAATAAGGTTGGAATGATTACAATTAGGGTTAAGAACAACAGATCTTCTAAGGTCGCAGCGCGTGTATCCCAGACGTAATAATAATAATATAGTTGATGTTTTTGCAAAACCGCCCATCGCCCAATTGCAAAACCGCCTATCTTACGGCACTCAAATTTTACAGGAGAGCGAAAAAACGGTTTATTCTTTGAAGGCATTGCCTTGTTAGGCGATATATTCTCCAGCTATTATCTTACAAATCTGTTCTTTTAATAACGATTTAACGATTTTTATGCATAAATCTCGATGCCGTGTCATTAAAAAAATATTAAAAACTTAAATAAAATTTTGGTAGGTTTTGGTTGATTTTGGTAGGAAGTTTTGGTAGGAAAAAAAATTTGTCTGTGGCAACACTGGTCCCACTTATTGAATCGTTTGAATGTTCTGGTATGCCGACCATTGCATTGTGCGTGGAAATCATTGTTCCACTACCGCTGTTCGTATATGGGTGAAACACGCGTGTGGTCCAGGGATGAAAAATGGAAATTTCAGATTGTATCTAATATCATAAAATAAATGCACCTAAATGAGACAGACTGTACCTAAAAAAAGTTACGTTACGTTAGTTCATAAGAAGTTTTTAAATAAACTTGACTTGCTTTTTTTAGCTGAGTTTATATCTACATCCAGAGTATAGTCTAATGCGAATCGGAGAAGCTTTGTTTTTGCCTAATTTTGACTACTGGAAAATTCTGGCGAAATAGACCAAAAAAACACTCTGGCGAAGTTTACTTTTTTCTAGCTTTTTATAAAACAAAAGGAAAGGAGGCTGCTGATTTATCCGATTCCCTTAAATAGCTGCAGCAAGTCTAGAGAAAATAATGGGAATTGCCGTAAGTATATTCGAAAGCAGTTTAAATATATTCCAGAAATCAAATAGCGAATATGGGTCAAATAGCTATTGCCTCAATTTGTGGCCCTCAACTACAGACAATTTGAATAAATCTTAGACCCAGGACTGTATGGGCGAAAAAAATTAATAGAAAAGTTAAAAATGTTATCATATGCGGGGAACTTTAGCTTTTATGGTTTCAATAGATAAAAAAATGCATTCCAACAATTGCACAGGTAGCGCGTTTGTAGATTTCACACCGTCAGTGGAGAGGGGAGTACATCGGTCTAGGGGGCAATGACGTTTTATGGAAGAAATTAATCCCAATTTCGAATATCAAAAATACAGCAAGAATTAAGAAGTTTAGGATAGCTAAGTAAAGGGTTCATTTTTCGTCGTGGCTCTTCTAAATCCAATGTAAAATATTTAAGAGAATACACAATATGATTTTGTTAATTTCTTCCTTTTGACCACTTTTCCCCACTTTTTCCCATGCCGACAAGTAAATATATTATCACAGTAAAGCAAAAGAAGAAAATAAGAATAAAAATTCATCTAATCAAAAGATGATTGTACCTAAAATCTAGTGATTGTACCTAATGTACCTTTAGGTCAGCAAACGTCGGAAAAAGGTACAATTGTACCTACTTTTTCATCCCTGGTGTGGTCACAGAGCGCTCAGTAAGCTATCACGATTGAGAGAATACAAAGGTTGCGCCGATCTCGGACCGCTATTCCTCTCTTAACGAATTTGACAGAATCGTGGTTTGCATGACGTCACACTTGTGCAACTTGTTTACGTTTTCCTTGCAACATTTTTTCTTCTTCTTCCATTCTTGCTCACGTTTTGGCATTTCTCTCTCGCAATTGCACCAATGTGACGTCACACAAAAGTTATTCTCAAAATCTTCTCTGATCGGCGCAATCTTGTATTCTATCATTCTTGGTAAGCTATGGCATGTCGATCGCTGCGCAAGGTAAAGAAAGAAAAGTGTGTGCTATGACATGCACAGAATTGTTTGTCTCAGTTTCAGTTTTTCTATCACCGCGAGTTGTTTCGGTGCGCGCATAGTTATTTAAAAATATACAGTTTGATGCCAACCGGGGTTTTTCAATGGATGTATAATTCATGTGAATTATAATTTGAAAGTGTGTTTAGCCAAGGAAAAAGCAAGGCAGTATACTTCCAGATATTTACCTGGGTTTTCGCACGACTGTTCCTGTTCCATCGTTGTTTTTTAGGAAATGCATACCACCATATACATATGTATTATTTACTTTAGTAACTAACTTATGTAAATATGTACGTATTTTTTAAGCTTAATATATGCAAATAAAAGAAGAAAGTAAACACAACAAACATCGAGTAAATTTTTATTTGTATCAAACTGAAACTTTCTTTCCAATAATAAACGGTTAGCTGATTCAAGTCTACAGCAAGTTCACAAAATTAACTTGTATCAACCAAAGCATTGTTTATATTTACTCAACAATCATTTTATTCAACTAANCAAACTGAAACTTTCTTTCCAATAATAAACGGTTAGCTGATTCAAGTCTACAGCAAGTTCACAAAATTAACTTGTATCAACCAAAGCATTGTTTATATTTACTCAACAATCATTTTATTCAACTAACAATATTGTCCAATCAAGGTAGTCGTTTTGTAATTATTAACAAATATACATTTGTCCCAACTAGAAGTCTTAAGTAAATTGCAGACTTCGTGAACTAGATATTTATTTCGTCATATCCAACTATGCCACTTGGTCACTATAACCAAATCGTGGTTATTATAACTAAACCTTTTTCTGGGTGTAAGCAGTGCGCGCTTCCACTCCGCGACGCCTGGGTTCAAGCCCTGGTCAAAGCAACATCGCAAAAAATATAAAAAAAAAGGTTTTTTCTTAACAGCGGCCGCCCCTCGACAGGCAATGGCAAACCTCCGAGTGTATTTCTGCCATGAAAAACAGATTGTCATAAAAATACAATCGCCATTCGGAGTCGGCGTAAAACTGTAGGTCCCCCGGCTTTGTGTGACAACATCAAGGCGCACGCCACAAATCGGAGGAGAAGCTCGGCCAAACACTAACATATGTGTAAGCGCCAATCTATTATTATATTATTATGTATGTATAAACATTAATATGTAAGCAGAGCTATAAAAATATTCGCAATGAGATAAAACTTTATTAAGCAAATAAGAAGTTTGGAAAGTTCATAATGATTTACCTATTTAGAAGGGAATGAATAAGCATCTATATATCGAGCTCTAAACGCCAAAATAACGTAAGCAAAATTTTTTTCAAAATTTTCTTTTTGATGCAGAAATATTCCTAGAGCATCTAGATGCATTTCTGCATCAAAAAGAAAATTTTGAAAAAAAATGTCGNATCGAGTCAATGATACCACTAATTATGGCTTCACGGTATCTATTCCTTAAAAAAATTTGCATTGAAATGTTGAGAACTACTGAGTTTACGTTAGAGAGAAGTTTTGCTAGTCAGCGGTATAACGAAGATGTTTATTTTGAAAGTGGCATAAGTTACTCAAAAAAATCAATGATAACACTCATCACACAGAGAATTTCATACCAAAAAAAATACTCAAATATAAAAAAATATAGTAAAACCGCGTTATCGATCTGACATCAGGATTCTTTTTTAAAGGACTTGGAAATTTTAAATGTATGATTAATTTAAAAAATTATTTAAAAAATCTGGTGCAATGTAGAATAACAATAGGAGTACCAAATGAATGAGAAAATCCTGTAGAATTTAAAAATATTAAATTTTTCCGTGCCTATGGATGAATAGGCATTGAAAATTTGCTTTTAAAATTTTAGCCTTGAGTATCCTTGAAAATTTGCAGTATTTATTTTTGAAAAGCTTTTCAGATTTTTTCGTGCTGAATTCGATGCTGACCCCAGAATAGCCCAATCACGTCACACGATGAAAAACTTTTTTTTTCAGAAAGATCATCTCGTTATCTAAAAGTACAATTGCTCCCCTCTAAAATTCATTTTAAAGCTTTAAAAAAATCTTTATTTGTCACCGAGAAGTCGTCTGTTGAATTTACTGAGTTTAGTAAATTCGTCGATATTCTGAAAATGAGGAGTATTGTGAAAAAATTGTTTTCATCGTGTTACATGAGTTCAAATGTGCCCAAAAACCGTGATTTTTTGTACTTTTAGGTTAGAATATCTCGAAATCCTGACGTGATTGGGCCATTTTGGGGTCAGATTCGAATTCAGCACGTCAAAGACCTTGGGAAAAGTTAAGTCCGATTCTTGGTTAGAAAATTTAATGAAATTTTGTCGGCCTGTGTTATGGGTTAATGATTAATATGCACACGAGCCTTTTTTGAATTTCATCCTTGTACCGTAATAGCTTAATTCAATTAACATTCTCTGCTTTATCTTCATCTAACAGCTCATTTACACAGCGTGTTCACTACCGTTAGTGATAGCAGAGCGTAATCTGCGAGCGCAACTAAGCAGTATAGTTTCAGGCGCTGGTATGATAGATTCTATTGTGAACTCTATGGTAAGATAAAATACCGGCAATTAGTTTCAATGAATCAGCAGTTAGCCCTGTGTTATTTCTATACTAATTTCTGTAGAGCACTTACCGGGTGTGCGGCTTGTACCTGAGCTGAATGCTTTAATTAAATAAGATACCGATTTGTTTCTGATTATGCTCCCAATTCGTGACACATTGGGCGCGTTCATAAGACTTACATAGCTATTGCTAAACGTTGACTGTTTGTCCTAGAAACGCTCAGCTCAACAGTCGCCAACTTTCCGCCATTTTTTCCATGGTACAATTTTTTCGCTACCTGAACTCAACGTATTTTGCTCAGCCTAAACAGATGATCGAAAAGATTTACGACGCTTATATTAAATGTACTATGCTCATAAATGGAGAGTCAGCCCTTAATAAAAATATTATGTGCGGGTTATGTAAAATAAAACTAAAAATTTCAAAATAAAATAATGTAAAAAAAGATATTTTTTAAAAATAAGCTTTTATTTAACATGTACATTAAAACCGAAGTAAATCAATACAAATTGTTAGTAATTTTCATTAGAGTTTGAGAAATTCCTTTCGCCAATTGGCTTTTAGTAACTTTAACGAAAGCTTAACTTATTTTATTTTATTCGCTTTAATGCAGTTATAACAAAATTTTCTTGCTAAAAAATCTTTTTTTTTACATTATTTTATTTTATTCCTTTGATTGTACATGATAAACAGAAGCTTGTTTTTAAAAAATATTTTTTTTTTTACATTATTTTTTGTAAGTATCATTTGAATTAATGTGACTGGCGGGACAATGAAAATAATTTTATTTTACCCTCGTGCACTCAAAGATGAATTTTAGCCAAAATACCTAACTTTCACAAACGGTGTTTTTGTGGTGTAAATATGAATTATACGCTTTCGTTTTCAATAAAAATGAGGTTTATATAATCTTCATAAAATATGAAAAAATATTTAAAGTTGTGACTGGTGAGACATCTCCTTGTGACTGGTGTAAAGTAATTATGCACGAAATAAAAGTTTCCATAGACAAAAATTACAACTTCTTTTGATTTTTTTAACATTTTCAAACAAATTAATGAAATGTAGATATTTTAAAAGAGGTAAATCTGAAATAAGAGATAATTAGGGCATATTTAAATTTATGTCGTTTTCCTCTTTTCAATGGAATGACCTATATATGTATAGCTGTATATTTGGGTATGTACATATACACATTTGTGAATGTAAAATGTTCAAGGGCTAAAATAATTAAAATACTTACCCATAGAATCCTGACGAACGCCCACAGAACCCATATTTGTGCCATGTGTCATTGAGAACGGTTGCGTCATACCTGGGTAAGATGAAGCGCCCATTTGGAATAAATCCTAAAAAAAAACCACGTCATTACAAATATTTCCAAATATACAAATATAATATACAAATGTATATACATATGGAAATATGTTTATATATGTATAAATTTCGATCCCATGGATCATTATTTAAATGCCAAAGCGTGCTTGTTGGCTATGTATGGCATTTAACCAAATGAATTATAAGTTCGTTTTACACACCTGCGGATATCGATTTATTGAGTTGTGATGTGGATACGGCTGATAACCACGTGATACACTGTATCCTTGTATATTTCTCATCATGCCGTTGCACGAGGGGATCACAGATGGAGCCAAAGCTTTCTGCAGCTGCTTTTCTTGTTTTCGATATTTAGCGCGACGATTTTGAAACCAAACCTGAATTAAAATAAAGTAAAGCTTATTAAAAAATGAATCACAAACAACTGGCCTCAACATCAAAAAACAATTAGTAATTTAAATTTATATTAGGCCACAAATAACGCAACAAAAATTAAAAGACAAGCCAGTCTTCGAGTTAATAGTCTAAAAATGGAATTAAGTGAAACCACAAACACATGTTCAAGTCTAAATAGCAATAAAGTAGTTGTCCTTGAATGCAGTTGGGTTGATAAAATGAAAATGTGGAAAAGCCACAACAGGTTGCATGTACGAACTTAGCTCAGTGAGTAGAACACTGGCCTTTCACGCCGAAATTCACGAAAAAAACAATTAATAACGTAAAGCTTAATAGTTTTAAATATTTACTTAAAGCTCAGTTAGTCTAGACTTACTTTCAGTTACTTAACTTAACTTAATATTTTGGCCTACCTGTTATATGAGAAACTGTGTGGTCGGTTAGTTAAAACTTGATTCTCTCGGTGGATTAGAAAGGCGAAAGGAGACGGATCGTGGTATTCCTATAAGGAAGCCTTAAAAGGGCTCAGAGGACATCATGGAAAAACTTCTGTGACAATATTGAGGAACATTTGGAAGCCAACCGGTTACGGAAGGTATTATCAAAGAGTGCCATTTCTCACAGCTATATCCAGAGGATAAACAGCGAGTGGACTTCATCTCGGGATGATATGCTAGAGATTCTTCTAGATACACACTTGCCTGGCTGCACCGCGGCGGAGAGTAACTCGGCCCCTACTCTAGGATCATTTCCGGCGGGGGAAGCCATCGTAACCCACAGGAATGTGGACAGGGCCATAAAATCTTTTAAACCCTTCAAATCCCCTGGACTGGATGGCATTTTCACAGCGGAGCTGCAAGAAGCATCTGACATATTATGCCCCAACCTAACGGTAATCTAAAAAGCTTACATCACAAGATATACGACAAGGGGCACTCCTCAAGGAGAATTACTCTCACCACTCCTCTGGAATCTTACGGTAAACACCCTACTCATGTGCTGCAACGCTATTGCGTATGCCGATGCTCTTGCCCTAACTGCAACCGGTAAACACCCACAAATCCTGGGAGAACTGTTGCAAAACGCCTTGGTTATCGTGGAAACCTGTTCTAGAGAATGCGGACTGAACACTAACCCGGCTAAAATGGTCACGGTTCTCTTCACACGGAAAACAAAAATCCCCCCATTTCAACTTCCTACCTTAAATGGCGTATAGCTGTCGCTCTCTGATGAAGTGAAATACTTGACCGTCATCTTGGACAGGAAACTTACCTGGCAACGCAACGTAGAAGAGCGGGCCTACTACAAAACGGCTATAGGCAAGAAATGGGGTCTCAAACCCCACATAGTTCACCGGATTTACACAGTAGTGGTACGTCCTATATTATTCTACGGCGTCACAGTCTGGTGGACATCACTGGTTATCCAGGAGCTCACAAATTCTAAGCTTACCAAGGTTCAAAGGACGGCATGCATGCTAATCACAGGTGCACTGCCATCCACACCCACCAAAGCTATGGAAACACTTCTAAACTTTCTGCCCGTAGACCTTTTTGGGAAGCTACAGGGGAGCTGCAAAGCAGTAAGAATAAATGCACTGTCAAAATGGAAAGACACCAGATTAGGTCACACCAACATCCTAACCAACTACCCGGACACATTCAGGTCCCCAGATTATACGACACCACCGATGGTGCTCGAGAATAAGTTCTCGCCTCGTATTCCTTCAAGGAAGGACTGGGAGGACGACTCGGTCTGGGGCCTCCAAGATAACTCAACAGCCATTTACACGGATGATTCTAAACTAAATTAAGAGTAGGGAGTGGGATACACTCAAAAGACCTCTCACTAGATCTCTGCTTTAGGCTACCAGCCCACTGCAGTGTCTTCCAAGCGGAACTCGCGGCCATAAAGGAGGCTGCACTCTGGCTCATCGATTCTTCTCTTAATCTACCTTCAGTAACAATATACTCCGATAGCCAAGCAGCTATTAAGTCACTGTATTGCTGCAAGACATCATCAATAACTGCGTTGGAATGTAGGAAAGCCCTTAACGATCTAGCTTCAAAATCAACTAGTGACATCGTGTGGGTACCGGGCAACAGGGACTTTCAGGGTAACTGTGCGGCGGACGAGCTTGCGCGGAAAGGAACTACCCTGTCGGGCGTGAACTCCTCTCATGTAGCGGGCATACCCCTATCTACCTGTAAGACATGGCTCAGGACATACTTCGTTGAGAGGGCAAATAAAAGATGGTCGGTAGAACCCACGTGTGGGACGGCTCGACAAATCTGACTCAAATTCGACAAGAAAAGATCCGACGCACTCATTTGGCTAGAAGTCCTGTTCTAAGGCTGGTGACCGTTATAATTACGGGCCGCTGCTTAATGGGAAGGCATGCTAGCATAATGGGTTTGCCGACCAATGACTTCTGCCATGGTTGCCGCGACGAGGTCGAAATCGAGAGTGTGGAACACTACCTCTCTCATTGCCCCGCCCTCACGAGAGGGCGAGGAGACGTTCATTTCCCCCCCACCGTTTTGATTGTCTCGCGGATCTAAGTGGAGCAGGCATTTACGAATTCTCGCGCTTTCTAAACCTAACCAACTGGTTCCACTTCTAGGTGAACGGACGGGTTCGAATTCGAGCTCTCAATTGCTATCACAACGGACCCACTGGGTCCAAGTGTGCCTCTCTCCTATGTTGGATGAAGGCAGCCGCTTCAACCTAACCTAACCTAACCTTGTTAAAATTTAACGTACCGTAAGCAACTAAGAACCTGTAAATCAGCAGTGCCCAGCGCAGCGCACTTGCCTATAGAATTTTGCCAGCGCAGGGCACTTGCTTATGGAGTTCTACCGGCGTTAAGCATGCCTGCTGTAGATTTTATATTCTTAAGTTGCGGCCTTACGGAAATTGAGAGCGCTGGGAGAATCAGGGTTGCCAGACTCTCGTTTTTGTATTTCTTAAAAATAAATGAACGCAAACATTTTCGTTTGCATGAATTTTTTCGGGGCCTCTAAATCTCTAAAAATAGGGGTGGTTCGGTTCAGTTGTTCGAATCACTTAGGAAAAGCTTGTACCGGTACAAGAACCCGTTCAAATGGTTTAATTTTTTATGCTAAAGCTTACAAATATTGCAAAAATATGGCAAATCTGTAACATAAAAATAAAAGGCTCTGTTACTAAGATCAAATTCAAATATCCACATGTATAGTGGTGGAAAAATAAATAGAGGCGCGACATTTCAGCAAGTTTTGGCTAATTTTCTTTTGTTTATTTAAGGTTCATTTATTTTTAACCATATGAATCCAAGTTTCAAACTTTGTGCAAAAATTATGAAAATTCTTCAAAGTTTCATCTAATAAAAATTTCTAGGAAGCATTTTTTAATTTCTAAGTTGATTAATGGCAATTTCTCAACGGATTTTCTGCCATACAAAGTATGTGGGAAATTCTTATTTGTATGGTAGAAAATGCGTAATATTAAAAAAAATTATTTAAAGTCAACGCGATCAAGGCGAAATTAGAAAACCTTTTTTAAGGTTTGGACAAGTCGTGAGCCTAGTCGAGTAGATAAAAACAGCATACTCAGAATTTCGAATTGACACTCAAAATCTTGGCTTAATGTTGAAACCCTCATTTTCGGTAGGTTGGAGCTTACATTAGGCCTTAACTTCATATGTCAAAATAATAGGAGTGCGAAATTTGACTTTCTTTGGTTTAATGTTCATATATTTTTTATAAATGTGTAGCTTGTTATATAACAAAAACCATATAAATCCTAATTTAAAACTTTGTACGAAAATTAGAAAAAATCTACAACTTTAAACAAAATTACATCAAAGTATACAGTTTTATCAGAACTACAAAAATCCGAGTATGTAGTTTTTTGATTTTTTTGCTGGCGTTGATAAGCATTTTCTCCATATAAAAATATTTCAATCATTCTTTATATGGGCGAAATTACAACTCACGTAAATAGTTGCCATCAAACAAAAATGTTTTTGCGGTTTTACCATATGGGTTGCATTTTTAGAGAAAAATGTGTATTACAAAACGTAAAAAATGCTATAGGGGATTTTCATTTTGAACCGAATCGAACCATTTTTTGGAGTGGCTTTTGGTTCGGTTTTGGGATTTCAAAATAAAAAGGGTTCGGTTCGGAGTCCGAAAAAAATCTAAGGTTCGGTTCAAACACCGGTTCGGATCGAAACCGGTTTGCAGCCCTGAATTTTTCGATGTGGCATTTTAGGCGGCGAACTGTTAAACTGATGAAAAAGAAAATACAAAAACAAAATATTTCCACGCTTGGCTTAAGTTGACGTGTTTGAGTAATCATTGATGATTTCTTGTGGTAAGTTAAGTTAAGTCTAGACTAACTGAGCTTTTAAACCGAAACTTGCTCAGTTTCTTAAGTTTTCTATAATTTCAGTTATTAGCAGCTTTAGCTATCATTCATTATGTTTTCAAACTGTACCTTCAATTTTCCCAACTTAATTGAACCAAAAATTTTGCAATTTTTGAAGTGCAATTAAGCGGGAATATGTACTGTAGTCATTATATACAATTTGTGAGCTTCAAAATGAAAAACCTTGGGAGCATGTAATAGCCTTGAAAGAATTCCTACCTTCTATTCTACCATTCTACCATTACCAGAATTACCAGAATTCTACCACTAACCATTTCCAGTGAAAATTTTTCTTTAAAAAATTTTGCCAGTTCATCAGATATGGCCAGCTAAAAGTTGACATTGAAATCTCCTGCGGGAATTACAGGCCGACCATAACAGTCTACTTATCTTTATCTTCATCTCTATCATTCATCTTCTTCTTCATCTTCATCTTCATCTTCATCTTCATCTTCATCTTCATCTTCATCTTCATCTTCATCTTCATCTTCATCTTCATCTTCATCTTCATCTTCA